ACTAACCGCGGTTACCCGCCCGCCATAACCGTTGCCCATTCCTAGTGGGATTCAAACTTTGAGTGCACGAGTTTAGAGACTACGTTGCTATAACTAACTTGATCACCTTAAATATCCTTACTTTGTTAGTGTTCTAACAAATTTTAGAGAATTTTAAAAAATTTTATTTGTGGGCAAACAAATTTAATTCAACAGAATTTAGTAGCCGGTCAAAATCTGATTAATTTTTTGTGTGTTAACTATATTATTTATGCAAAGGAGGAGGAAGTCGGCTTAGCCTCACAATGAGCTAGCAGTAATGTGATTGAAATTCAATTTTGCATGAGAAGCGAACTTATGTCCTTTCACTTACAAGTGAAGAGGAATACCATTAAACTTTAGTACTAAGTGGCTGTTGTTAACTTTATATGTACCTTTGCGTAAGAATCGAACATAAAACCTCTCACTTAGAAGTAAAGAGGAATACTAATAAACATTAGTATTAAGTGGCTGTTTTTAACACTTTTATATATATATATATATATAAAGAGAGCATCCTAACGTGGTGAAACATTCAAAATACCATAAATTGTCTTTAAAAACTCCAAAAGTTACATTAAATGAAATTAAAATTGTAATTCAAAACATTTTAATTTTAAATACTTTAAATTAAAACTTTTTTTTTTAGCAAACGATATTATCTACACGTATGAGAATAGGTTTAAAACTTTATAAACAAAATAACAAAAATAAAACCCCCAGGTGGTTTATGGTTGACTTCTATTTTTTTTTATATAAACAAAAATATAGAAATCAAAATAACTTAATTTTCTAAAATTTTTAAAATCTTAAAAATAACTTAATTTAACATACAAAGGTCAATTGTCACACGCGTAAGCGTGTGACAAGAGTAGTATATGTTTGTGTGCGCATGTATAAAAAAATATATATATGTATGTATGTAAGTTATAAGTAGGTGGTTTGGGGGCCTAACATGTTTATGTTTGTTTGTTTGCAAGTGTGAAAAATAAACGAAATTCATGCCATGGTAGGTGAGGCTTCTTGTGGGCTGTTTATCCTTGCAGGTACAAGGTTGGTTTGAACCTGGTTACTCTCCTTTGTTTCATTTGGTACTGTTTGGTGGAAAGTTATTTTATTTTTTTTCTTTTTTCGAGTAGTGTGGAAGAAACCACGACTCTATTTTTTACTGCACTCTTATGAAAGCTCTTGGTGCACTATAAAAATGCCACACAAGTTTTGGTTCAGTCAAATAGGTTGGGGATTCTGAGATTGGAAAGTGTTTTTTTCGGAAAATGGCTGATGATGAAAGTTTTGAGAATCTAAAAGCTGCCCGGAAATTGTTGAAGGCTAGTATGGAGCAATCTTCAGCTCTTTCGTCAGCGATTAATGAAGCCGGGTTGAAGGTGGAACGCATGAAGGAGAGGTTGCCATCTTTGGAAGCGGCAATTAGGCCCGTTGGGACGCGAAAGTGTGGATATTTTGCAATGAGGGACCAAATCAATGGTGCCATTGGCCCTGCTGCTGCTGTTCTCAAAGTGTATGATGTCGTTCGGGAGCTAGAGAATTCGCTGTCTTTCGAATCATGTTCTGATCTCCACGCTTATCTTTCGATCATGAAAAGGCTCGAAGAGGCATTGAGGTTTCTTACTGGCAGCTGTGGGCTGGCCATTCAGTGGCTGCATGACATTGTTGAGTTTTTGGAAGGCGACGCGTTTGCCAATGATCAAAGCCTCTTGAATGTGAAGAAAGCTCTGAGAATTCTACAGGTGTTGCGCGCAATCGAGGGTTGTTACTCGCCTTGATGGAGGGGTTCTCAATGCTGCATTCAACAAGCTGGAAACCGAATTTGTAAGCTTATTAATGGAGAACAATGCTACAGCCTGCATTGCTTCATCGCCATTACCAGTGCCGGTAATTCAAAAGCTTCAAGCCATTGTTGAGATACTCAATGCTGCTGATCGGCTTGAAAAGTGCGTATTGCTGTACACTGGCGTGCGGAGTTTGAATGCTAGAAGAAGCTTGCAGGCTCTCGATCTCGACTACCTTGAGATACAAGTCTCTGAGTTTGATGATATGCAGAGCATCGGCTCTTACATTGAGCAATGGGGCGAGCATTTGGAGTTGGTTGTGAAGCAGTTTCTCGAGTTTGAGTACAAACTCTGCAACAGTGTCTTTGAGAAGACAGAATCAGATGCTTGGAAGCGCTGCATTGCGAGATTCGCTGAAGAGTTTAGGCTTGTTTCTTTCCTCCAATTTGGCAGGAGTGTCACCAAGATAAAGAAGGGCCCGGTCAAGCTCTTGAAGCTACTAGATGTATTCGCAGTTTTAGAAAATCTAAGGGTCAATTTTAACCGGCTTTTCGGAGGGGAGGCCTGCGGTGAGATTCAGAACCTCACAAGGGATCTGATCAAGAAGGTTGTCAATGGGGCTTGTGAGATTTTCTGGGAACTTCCTAGTCAAGTGGAGTTGCAAAGGCGGTTTTCTCCTCCATCGGATGGTGGCATTCCCGGGCTAGTAACCTTTATAACTAGTTTCTGCAATCAACTTCTAGGGGAAGACTACAAGCCAATCTTGATCCGGGTCTTGCAGATCCATCAAAGTTGGAAAGCCGATATACACAAAGGCAAAGATGATGATCTTCTTTTGAAACAAATTTTTAGCACGATGAAGGAAATCGGGCTAAATTTGGATGCGTGGTCGAAGACCTACGAAGACATCTCCCTGTCCTACCTTTTCATGATGAACAATCACTGCCATTTCAGCCAACTGAAGGGCACAAAGCTTGGGGAAATAATGGGAAACTCTTGGTTAGGAGCACATGAGCAATACAAGGACTACTACGCAGCTCTCTACTTGAGAGAGAGTTGGGGAAAGCTTCTGATTCTCCTAACCCAAAAGGGTTGGATTTCGCCTCCTGTCGGGGGAGCAACGGATTATCATCAGGGCTCCGACAATAAGAAAAGGCTCAAGGCATTCAACGAGGCATTCGACGAGAGATACAAGAAGCACTCGAATTGGATCATTTCGGACGATTGCTTGAGGCAGAAGGTATGCCAACTTTTGGTGCAGGCAGTTGTACCTGTTTACAAAAGTTACATGCAGAAGTATGGAGTTTTGGTGCAACAAGATGCAAGTGCTAGGAAGTATGTCAAACACACAACACAAAGCTTGGAGAAGATGCTGAGCTCACTGTTCCAGCCCCAGCTTAGCAAATACCTGCGGTACCAAACATATTCGCTTTATCGGCAAGCTGAAAAGCTTCGTCACCAATCACTTTCGTGTTACGCGTAAGGCTATGTGAGTTCATAGGCTACTGCTAAAGGACCACATTTCTAGAGTTTTAGTAATTTCCTTGTACAGATCTACACGTAAAATTAATTAACATGTATTGGTTTAAATTATTATTCTCGGATTTCCTATCAACTTCTTCATTCGTATTGATGTTCTTGATTCGGAAACTTCTCCTTGTAGCTACATGTTTTCGTCAAGTTAAAAAAAAAGGCTTGTGCCGCTTATGTTTGTTACTGAATTACCAGTCCAAAGTCCAAACCGTAACATTAGAAATGGTGACGAACCCTTTGACATCACATTCTAAGCTGACCTCAACCCAATAATTCCGAAGTACGACGAGCACCTGCAATTACAGCTAAATTCTGTCAATGCTATGAACAGAAGTTTACATTCTCGTAGCAAAACCGCCAATCTGATATTCCGTAATTTTACCTGCGAAGTGATTGCGGAAGTGAAACTGTCAAATCACTCTTTACAAACCAACACAAGTGCACTTTCAGGCTATGCTGCTGCGAAAACTATATACATCCTAAATGAGATTCTATGATCTTCCAGAGGAACAACACGGATGCTATACGTGGAATTAGAACGGAGGTTACCCAGCTGATTCCGCCAGAAAACAAAATAGAAAACAGCCTTCAACAGTTTAGAAGTAGATTTCATAGATCAACCTAACATCCTCATAACTCGCGGATCCCCAGTACGGTGTTAGATAGGATTTATTTAGTTCCGTCAACTATACGCCATTTCAATGCTGATTCTAAGAATTAAGTGCCTGCAGTTGCAGTGGGCTCTGTTGATGAAGCATTCCCTTGGCTGCTGCTGATGGTTCTGATGGATCAGTGCTAGGCTCTCTCCGCCACTGTAGACTAGAGCTCCCAAAACGTGGAGTTTTGGGGATAGTGTTTTTGTTGCCATCTGGTACATGTGCGTGGAAAGTCTCTGCAGAAATCTGGTTTGGGGCTGATGCCGCAGAAGCTGCTTCTCGTATCCTTAGAACCTATACAAAATGTACACAAGTCAAAAGTTGGAAAACAAAGGCCAAATTTAAATTATAGTCCCTAGAATATGTCAGTCTCCAAAGGTGAATCTCAAATTTACGATCCTTGTGTGCATTTGTGAAATATAAGAGACGCACATAGAAACTTGTGCAGCCCAACAAGCTCAATAGTATCAAACCATTCAATTTATAATATTTTTCCCAACTTGGTTCGTCTTCAGTCATGGAAGGAAAATAAGGGCAATTATGTAGCATTTTCAACGTGAATCCACTGCCTAATGAACATGGTAAAAGATATAACAGTAGAGTATCAGGTTTATTACACTCAACCAAGTCAATCTCCATACGGCCTTCATTTTTTATTTTTTTTGTTTGTTTTTTGTTTCACACTTATTGTTTGCTCACCTTCACTATTCTTGAATAAAACATTGTCCCACTCAATGCCAAGGCTTTGTTAACAGATTCCTTGCTATCAAAGGTAACATAAGCAGACCTAAGAACAGAAATGTCAGAAACCGGTCCCGGACCTAAGATGAAACATACAAACAGAAATTGTACTCCTTAGATCATAATAGAGCAGATGACGAAATAAGCGTTACCCTTGTGGTTTAGCAGTTACTATGTCTGTCAGAATCACCACATTGAAAACCCCTCCACACTTGGCAAAGAACGATGACAAAGCTTCTCTAGTAGCTGAAAAATGTACCTGTTTTTTTTTTTTTTTTTTCAAACAGTATATGGTATGCTTATGAGATATTTTACATAAATGCAGAATTGCAGATACAACAATTAAATTAATAAAAATAAGGAGGAATAGTAGCAATCTCCATGGAAATTAACCACACACAATTTGCACTTTATTTAAACAAATGTGCGTACAAGTTGCAATCCTCAAGTACTAGTTAGCTTAACTAAGAGGTGAACAGAAAGCGAGCCTAAATTACTAGATGTGAAAGAATACTGCCTCCAAATACCAATGTCAGTTAAAATACAGACTTGAAATTTGTAACAACATTCGCAAAGATGACCTAACAATGTGTGTAATTAAAAATAACTTTAAGAAATATCATTATGTATTACTACAGCTAATTGTTATCATCTGGTAGAACAGAAGCTCTACAGTCTACGCTCTCAACAAGAGTCTGTTTCTATAACCATCTCAAAGGATTTCCACAGAGGCACACCCCTCTGGTTTCCATCTATTTATTATCAACTGTTTACCTAGAATTTCAATCCACTGAATACTTTCCCTTAGTGATTTCGTGTTCGCAAAGTCAGCCACTTCTCATCACACTACTGTGAACTTTAATATTTCACTAATAGAGTGAATAAAAGAAGGAATATTATACAGAAAGATCTTACATTTGTCACCAATACAGTCCTTGACTCAATCTCAGTGTTGTTCTCCGAATCCTTTAGTATATCTGTAAATGCATGCATTAGAACACATCCACCCAAAACCACCTTCCCCCACCCTCTACATTTGTGCACAGACATTTGTTTCTAGTTCAAAATTCAAAGCATTTATAAGTTGAAACAAATTTCATACTTCAGAAAATTGGTCCAAGTTATCTAGAGGCTTTACCAAATTTTGACAAACGATTGACTTTCACCACCTGCTTTGATTGAAGCTTTGACATTTCCATTTCAATTTGATGCAATCTTTCTTTTACTTCAAGCACTTCCTAGGAGAAAATCAGTGAAGGAGGGAAAACTAAGTTGATTCTTAAAATTACCAGACTTGAGGTTAAAGTCAATCTTAAAGGACATACTGATGCCAGTTTCTGAGTAGTCCTCGAACCATTTTTGGTCAACTTTGACTTCTTGAAATCCTGTGAGATATCTTTGTACTGAGGATCCATGTTTCTCTCATGCACCAAAGAAGCTGAACCAGTGCCAAGGCCTGCCCTGATTTCACCAAAGAGCCTCTTACGTCCAATATTGTTTGCACTACTGAGGTTCACCCATTGCACTACCACCATGGTCCAGTTTCCTAGTCTCAACAGGGTGCCTATAAGACCTCGTCCCACGAGCAGGAACTTCAGGATTACTCTTCAGAGGCATTAATGGGGGCTGGTTATGGACTCCTCCATCTTGTGTCTTATGGCCAACACCATAGAAATTAACATTCTTGTGCCCTACAAATATGTCCTCACATGGCTTGCCCAATCTATCCCAAACACTACCCCGAGGTTTTTTACTATGCACAAACCCTGTACCTATTAATCTTGGTGACAGTCTGCTTTCTAATGGGTTACTGCCACAGATCTCTTTAGGATAAGCACGTCCTGCAGGAAGAAAGCATAAAAAGAGTCCTCATTATTGACCCATGAGCAAACTAAATTTGTACGTCTGTAGAAAGGCAGCTAAAACAAATCAGTTTCACACAATCACATACAGGCACGTAATTATATATTTACATTTACAATTTTCTCAAACATGCATTGAGGTAATCGAACATGGTACCTGATATGACATATTGCGTATACCTTAGACTCTGCCTCTCTTTTCGGCAAATGTAAGAGCTCCTTAGGCAACTCACTTGATTCATGCTTGAGAATCTGCTCTACAATAAGATAATTCTGAACTTACAAAAAGAAAAATGCGTTTAAAAATCACTGTCAGCTGTATTAAACTGTTTAATAGGCCAACCTGGTTAATTTTATTTATACACCGAGTTCTTCTAACTAGCTCACAATTGGTATTATCAGTTGCAATAGGTCCTTTTAGAATTTCATTTCTGCATGCCCGTGACAATGTTTTCTTGGTATTCACCTCACTGAAAGGGACAGATTGAAAACCTTTGGCAAGTTTCACATCTTCACAAGAAACAGGATCACATGTTGACATATGGTAGGACTTGTCATCTTTCATCTGCCATGGGAAAGTTATATTACAAACTCCTCCTAACGCTCTATTATACATAAAGAAATAAATTCGGATAACTCATATTACCAAAAGTTCATCGGCATGTCTAGTAGAATGATTCTGGAATTCTGCACATCTGTCGGTGCTTGCACCCTTGCATCTCTTACTCTCTTGGTAACTAACAGTAGCAACTTCATCTGCATTCAATAAGCCGGTGTCTGCAGAAGATTGACCAGCATATTCCAACATAAGATTCCATAACCTACATTGGCAGAGCAAAGGGATTAGCATCGACTATTCAAAACTGAGTCAGCATGTAAAGAAGAAAATTGTAGCTAATCAGGAGAGTTTGATAGTCAGGGTACCAGGATACAAAATCTACAGTCACGTCGCCAAGAAACGCTTCTAAATCCTCTTTTGCCTGATATTGATGCTTTCCATTACAAACCAGCACTGTTATATATTCCTAAAGTAATGAACATATTACTCTCAGTAAAATTTGGAGTAAATTTAACCATGAAGCAGTGAAAACTTGTTAATGAGAACAGGGCAAATCACGCATGTGCGTTCAATGTAAAATTTCAAACACAAGATTAACAATAAAAAGAAACAAAAAAAGAAGTTAAAAGCAACTTGTCAATAATTAATGAAATTGACGAATCTTTCTTCTACTTTTCGTACATCAGTTCGCAATATAAGACCACTCATTTCTTGTTGTCCACTCAAATGCTTTCGATTATAGAAGATGTTAAGTAAGCTCTAGCCTCTTGCTCTATCTGATATTACACACTGATAACGTCTATAGAGACGCGCATGCAACTCTGAGACTATATGTTAAAAAATTGTGCATTAATTAGCAAGCAAACAACGAAATCATCGCGAAATGTAGCATGGATTGTTAATTTCATTGCCAACATTTTCTCAGCAACCAAACATACAGTTATTATTATGTTGATTAGGCAGCATATGAAACTTTCACTCTCATTCCACCGAAAGCAAAAGCATCACGAAACATAGCGTAAGCGTTAATTTCTCTGCCTACATTTTCTCAGCATCCAAACAACTAGTTACGAAAGAGAATCGCTAGTACATTTTCCCAAAAAAATCAATTCCTATCGTTAATTAGACTCGAAAAATGGAAATAAACAAAGGAAAATCAGAAATCGCAGGAACTGGAAGGGATGAGAAAAATTACAGCGAGGACGTCGTCTGTGTACTCGGAGAGAAATTGAGGAAGCTTGACGGCAATGGAGGATTTGAGCTTCCGAGCGAAAGGCGATTTCCTGTGGAGCTTGAAGGTCTTAGGGTTCGCCGAGAAAATATCCATCGGAGATTGTCGTAGTTCGGTTAGGATCGCTCTCGCTCTCTCTGATCAATAGTTTTGACAGCCCATATACCACTCGAGTAAGAAGGAGCCACTGAAGCATATTATACCAGAAAACTAATGAATGTGCTTGATTTCATAAAGGTTAATTTTTTTACAATAAAAATATGATTTTTCATTAAAATAAACAGTGACTTAAGTTTTTCGTTAAAATGTTCTGTTATACAAGCATTCCCAACATTTTGAAACGTCAAAACATTTTTTTCCTTTAGTGTTTTGGTTTTATAGGTTCATAGTGACGTTATCTTCACTATACTGAATTATTATTTTAAAAAAATTATTATACACTCCAAATTGGACGAGTTCAGGTCGAAAATTAAAGTACCATTACGGCCCTACCCCGATAACCATACCGAAAAATTCCCCAAGCACGTCTCCATCCCAGCTTGTTATCCCTCAACCCAACTCATTAAAAGACAAAACTCCATAAAACCACATCAGGATGCATATGCATAGTTCTACAATCTTGTTGCAGAATTGAACCTTCTTGTCGACACCTCTAATTCAGTGAACAAGGAAAAAGTTAACTCAAGAATTAAACTTGATTTTCTTAATTACTTTCTCCCTTCGTACACATTTCCTTTCGGGCTAACTACGTTTTATACCATTTAGGTTTGTGATGATTTTCAAACTAGTCTAAAAGGTTCTAATTTTCTCACATTGCACCATGAGGTTTTGAAATTATGCCATTTTACACATTTTATCTCTTTGAAGATCTAAACTTCTATTAAATTGATGAGTTGTCTGCGTCAATATGAGGTAAATGTGGCTTACACATAGCCCATATAATGATTTCAAGCTCATCATGTCATCAATTTATTGATAGATTAAATAATCAATTTGACCAAAAACATACATTGATACAATTGCGATACCTTGAAATGCAAAATAAGAAAATTAAAACTTCATGGGCCATTTTGAAAATCACCCCAAACTTAGAAGTATAAAATGGATTTAGCCCGCTACTTTGAATTTGGCGAGGGAAAATAGAAACAGTATAATAGTCATTGATTCCCTAACCAGATAGATATTTCTTAGTGGTAATCAGTAAGTGTTGTTTTGTTTCCGCAACATGCAAATTCGCATAAATTTATTTTAAGGTAAGTTACAACCTCGTACAATATTTTTAAAACATTTTAATTTCATACATTAGTTATTATTTCATTTTAATTTCATACATTAGTTATTATTTCATTTTAATTTCATACAATCGTTAAAAATTCTATTAAATTAACAGTTAAATGATGATGTGATAACAATGAGTCCCACATTTTTTCTTATGTGGCTGACAACTTCTGCCATGTGGCAGACAACTAAAAAAATATTTAACTAATAAAAAATAATTTTTTTGTATAATTAAAAACTTGAAAAATAGAAAGAAAAAATTAAAAAAATCCCTAAAACCTCTCCAGTTCCACGCCCTCTGTTCTCGCCCAGGACACCCCCGCCGTCGTCCTCTCCACTTGCGCCATTCTCTCGGACCCCACCACCGGATTCTCCCTCCGTAACACCTTATTCAAGAACTCTGTCCTCGATTAAAGCGTCGCCTACTTTCTCACGATCTTCTCCATTACTTCGTCTCCCTCCCCAATGACATCCTTTCCATCGGCCACCGCCTCGCACGGCACATTCGCCATCTCTCCCTCCTGATTCTCTCCGAGGTCCCAGCCTTTGCCAGAACATGTGGACGCTCTGCGACGCCGCCGCTTGCAAGCCCAAACCTCAAGCCTTCTTCTGCCATAGCTCGATTGTGAGAGGATCTGAGCTCTTCACCGCTTAAATACCCATATCAGGTGCTCTCTCCCATGGTGAATTAGATTGCCCATCTGGGTCTTCTCCGTCTCCCTTAAACCTGCAATTCCAACTCGTCCCAGTCCCATTTGGCTCCCTGTCCCACATGGGTCAAATTCATGGAGAATCGGGAAGGGGCTGCGATTTGGGTGGGGTGGGGTTGTGCTCAATTTCACCCCCAGATACCGCCACCTTCTTGGCCGACGCCCTGGCCCATCAATGTTCCGAGTATTCCCTCAGTAGCCGATCTACAACTTCTCCGATATGCTGCAGATGCACATCTACGAAACCTGCCCTCAGATTTTTTATTTATTTTTAAATAAAATATTAATTGTTAGTGGCACAAATTATCAGTACAAATGTGGAACTCATTGTTACCACGTCGTCGTAACTGCTAACTTAACAGAATTTTTAATGTTCGCATGAAATTGAAATGAAATGATAATTAATGTATGATATTGAAATGTTTTAAAGATATTATACGAGGTAGCAATTACACCTACACCTGATGGAGTACTTTATTTTATTTTTGTCACATTGCGGGGGATCAAACGCCTCTGAACTTATTGCAATTATATTTAAACTCCCCCACCACATTACCGTCACCCTAACGCTCGTGATGTATAGGGTTTGGTCCTCCTGGTGTCAGTATAAGAGAAAAATCCAATTCTACGTTGGGATAATGCAAAAGACGTTTATCGCCCGATAAGGGGTGTTGTTTGTGCAGAAGACGTTTATCACCCGATACGACATGTTGTTTGTGGATGGCTTGGTCCTGGTGGTGCAACCTGGTGCTCTTCAACTACATTCCGTCCATAGCAACCTGTAGATAATACCCAAATAATGCTCATTACGAAGATGACCAACATGAGCATCAAATCAATGTGTAGGACATTACAGTAATTAGAATGAAGCTGGGGGTGGGGGGGTGGGTGGGTAATTAACAAAAAATTGATATGGTCAATATATACATACCTGATGAGCTTAGAAGAATTAAAGCAATGCAAAAAAGACATCCAAAGTTGATGGAAGCCATACTGTAAGGGGCAGAACCAGAAAATTCTCGATGGTATATGAAATGATGAATCACCCTAGAGAATGTATGTATTTATATTTACACTTATAGGAATAAATGGAAATTATGTGTGTCCTACATCTGCTTAGTTCGCTACCGAATCCTAGCATCAAATTGAAATAGAAATCAATAAAATATGTTTCTTTTAATTGCTGTTTGTTGTCCCTTCGGGGACATCCGATAAAATTGGAATGACACAAGGAATTGCTGATTTGTTACTTTTATAGATCACCTAAATATGCTTAGTTGGGTGCTAAATCGTAGCACCAAATTGAAATAGAAATCAATAAAATAAGTTTCTTTTAATTGTTGATTTGTTGCTAATCGTAAAAGTTATTTTTTCTCAATACAATAATATGACATTGAGAAAATAGGATCACAGTCATTTGCATTTTTCATTTCTAGAAAATTTAGCAAATTTGCAATTCAACTTATTTTTTTTTCTCATTTTACTCAAATAATACAGTAAAATCTCTCTAAAGTTATAAAGTTGGGTCCAAATCAACCAATTTTATAACTTTAGAAATGACCAAAATAATGAATGATGGACAATCTCAATGATCATTTCTATTAATTTTCAATCTCAAGGATCAAAATGATGTGTTATGCAAATCTCAAGAACCATTTTGGTTAAAAAACCTATTTTAAATTGTTTTCCTGTAATCAAACATTTGATGAAATATGCAGGATTATATCTAGTAATTGTCAGATTAATTCTCGTATGAAATAAGTACAAATAGACACCTTGATTAATTGGCCTAACGATACTTGATAAAAGATGTCTCAAGTTGGACTTACATAGATGTGAAAAAAAATAACATATATGTTCACAGAGTCGTATGCTATGTTAAGTTGTGGTTTGTTGTACCATCTGATATAACTAGCACACCTCAACTTATTCAGGCATCTGGGTGCAACCTTGCAACTGCCCCCAATATTTCGTTGCGGTTGGGGAACAGTGCGCAATGACTATATGTATAGTCCCACCAAAACTAAACGTTCTTTCTGCTGCATGACCTGCACATTTAATATATATAAATGAAGAGGTAATTAGATTCAACCCCTCAAATTCTACATTTTTTAATTAAATATTGGTTGGTTTTTAATTTTTTATTAAAACGCTCTAAATTAAACCATGTTCTTTTCTTAATTTCCGACTCAATATTTTATATAAATTTAAACAAAATAAAAGTTGTATCATGATTAAAGCTGAGATCTAGAGTCCATAAATTAATGTGAATTGTTTTCCAGGACTTGAATTTTTTCTTTTTTAGAAACGTGAACTAAATCCATTTTATAGAAAAAGATCTAGTCCTTCTCCTGTTTTTTTCTTAAAATAAATGAGTCATTATTTCAGTAATTAATACTAGTTGTCTACACACTTTGTGTGTATAAACACATTTTTTTAGAAATGAGAAGGAGAGAGAGAAATTTTTTTTGGGGGGGGGGGGCGGAGTGTGAGGTTTTTGGTTTTTTTTTATATATAATAATTATTATTATTTTTAAATATTGGAGGTATTTTAACATCACATGTAGATAAGGCTTTCATAAAAAACAGTAAAATTTGGACCTGTGAAATTACATCATTGCCCATCATTTTTTTGTGTAATAGAAGACTAAGTAATATTTTTATCATCTTTTGATTAACAAAAAGAGTTTCATTAATTAATAGAGATATTAAAAATTGATAGAATATATTACCATCAAGTTTCTTTATTTCTTCCTTCTCCTCTATAAAAGTCACAACATCATATCCTCTAGCCGCTTTCCAAAAGTTACTTCAAAGAAGTAACCCAGAGTTATTTTTTCTATTATTGCAATAAATGTGTGTACAACAATGTCTATGTGGAGAGTGGAAATATTTTAGAACCGCTTCAATAACACCCTTGGAATATAACACAACTTTGTCAGCAAAATTTCTTTAGTTGAAGTTAGTAAAAAAAAAAAGCAAAATAATAATAAGAACATCGCTTTTTGTCTATCTATGTCCATGGAATGTTGTCTACGTTGTAACTACCCATCATTGTTTTCAAGTGAATTATGAAGAATGTAGCATCATAGCACTGTAATGCAACAACTACCATAGCTATGGGAGACACCACAAAACTACTATCTAAACTAACTTATGTTAATAGATCGCCTCCAAAAGGCCATTTCAAGAAGCACCCATTATGGGACCATTATTTTCTAGAGACAAAGTAAGGTTGATTGGAATATAGATACCTCAAAAGTCAAGTCAGGGACTCAACATCTCTTAGTAGAGCTGGATAAAACGGAACAGCGGTGCCACCATCACTCTGTTCCGGGGCAATAAGACCTGAACAAATGGAGTAATGGTGCCACCACCACTTTGTTGGTATGACCATGCTTGTTCCACAAGACACGGGACCTGATTTGGTTGTGGAATCAGCTAGATCCTTTATAAGTCTTGGAGTTCCTACAATCTCGGAATTGGCATGCACCACAAGTAACCACAACTCCTAAGAGGGTGCAGTTTCTACTTCTAGATCTCCTCCAGGATTCTCCCGATTTAGGACATTGATTTTATCCCAAAAAGGTCTCTCTCTTGGTTGGTAGAAATACACCAATCTAGGGTTTGTTTTTGGTAAAGCAATTTATGCACTCTAATTCTCTTGCCCACCACTTAAGTCTTATATTTGCTTACTAACTTGATTGTCGGAGAGCTTTTGGCTGCCACACCTTTCCCCGTCTTAGGCTTGCTCGCAGTTGCTTGCTTCTTCACATGTTACTCAGATTTGTGCATCTCCACCACTAACGGCGGTGCACGAATTTGGTTTCAACGCAATTAGTGTTTTCATTGAGAGTATGATTGCTGAAGAATTGGTGCATTGCCACCACCACAAGCATGACTGCTGAAGGAAGCTCTGTTAACTCCAATGTTAATCCCACCATGGGAGAACCTATTTTTTGATGCATCCGTTATCCCAAAGGTGGATAACCCGCTACTTACACCTCCACCACTTCTAGAGCAGGTAATTAACAGCCCACGGGAGACGACAACCACGCCTGGAAACAATAAAGGTCCGATCAACAGGCCCCCTCTTTCCATGGATGAGATTTGGGATACCTTAATGAATATTAACACCTCTATTGACAATGCTGCAAAAAAAAAACCAAATGGATGCTCGAGCTGAGAGCCACTACAACTTCGTGGACATCGAAAATCAAATGAAGAACTTGGAGAATTCGAGCTGGACTACACCTCAAACTGAGATTTCCGTTTTCGGTTACATAAGCATCATAACCTTTGAAGGGGAAATGATCGTATCAATCGCTGCTCTAACTCTAACAGACATCGCTTATCCAAGTAGACGTCGCTTCTAGAAGCAGGCTCTGAGCCCCATAAGACTCCCCTCAACTAGCACGTCACAATAACAGTGCCAACTTTCCAAGTTAAACTGTATCTGCTCGAAACCATCGCAAAGATATGGATGTCAAATTTATGTAAAATTTTGCAGAACGCAATTCTGAGCTACGTGGAGAACGTTATCATCATTTTACCACTCATAGAGCAAGCTGGAATATCTCTGCAGAATTCCTTAAGTTCTTCATCCAAACTCATATCAAATAACATACAACCAGCTGCAACAACTTATGAGTTTAGGATACATGCAGTTATGATCAAGTTAACGACTAATCTAAGGGTTCAACCGATTCAAGTCCGCTCCGATGAGCTAAAACAAGTCACCCGCAAAGCACTGCGTGAGAACTCCCAAATTGTCCTCCTCCACTACTAGCTTGTAATGGAAAAGATGAGTGTAGCGGAGAAGAGTGCTTCATTGGATGTGTGGGCACATGAGAATGATAGGATTAAGAACGAAGATATCCAAGGTAAAGTAAGAGTGGTCACAATTGAAGATAAAATAAGAGAAAATCGATTAAGGTGATTTGGGCATGTGAAGGAAGACTTGAAAAGATACTCTAAGAAAAGACATGGAGTACTTAGAGCTAGCAAAATACCTGGTGCAAAACCGCGTGCAGTGGTGTTCTATGATTCATATAGCCAACCCCACTTAATGAAATAAGATTTTTGTTGTTGATGTTGTTTGTTGTTGAGGTATAAGAGAAAGGGACTTACTTGAGATACCTAAGTGCTGTTAGAAAAGGTTTCGATACCAGAGTTTAGAAGTAATGAAACAACAAACACAAAATAAAAGCAATGTTTACGTGTATACAAAGAACACAACTCATATGACGTAGCATTCAACGCATTGTAATAAGGGTGAATGACATTGATGCATATGTCTCACTTCTCACATATGTATCAACAACAAAAAATACATGTTATGATTTAAGTGAAATTTGTAATGTTACGTGATCATGTTTTATAAAAAAAATTACTCAATAGAAGACGGAGAATCCTCATATTTTTACGCTCCTTTTTAAATTTTATTAACGAGCCATACATGATATAAATTAACTATCAATTTAGATGTATTTCCTGTACTTGGTTATAAAGAATTCAAGTTCAAATCTATGAAAATTCCATCAGTCGTTAAAATCCTCCGTATTTGTCATATTTCCTTCTTGTTTCATTATCTTCTGGTGCACTTAATCATGTGTATTCAGTCGTCCTTCCAATCACATTTGCAAAGAAAATCTACTCACTGGGCAAAGATAGGGCAAAATACAAAGAATTGAATATATAATCACAGATTAATTGTAAATACATTGAATAAAAAGGAGGCGCCTCACAAAATCTATGTATTTTGGAAAACCTATTAAACTCTACAAAATTCTATGAACAATGAACACATTTAAACTCTATAAAAAAAAAAAACCAACTCAAAATATTTTCCCACTCACTCGAATTCTGATAGTTGTAGTGAGATCATGGCTACTTCCTCACCCTCACCCTCGCCGCCGCCTCCACCACCACCGCACGTAGTTATATTCCCCTTCATGGCTCAAGGCCACACGATTCCATTGCTAGACATATCCAAGGAACTCTCAAACCGTGGCCTAAAAGTCACCATCGTCACCACCCCACTAAACGCACCGTTCATCCACTCCAAACTCTCAAACCACACGTCCATCACCGTCTCCGTTGTGCCGTTTCCATATGTCCCGGACCTTCCGGAGGGCTGTGAGAATACCGCCGACCTTCCTTCAATGGACTCGTGGGTTCCCTTCGTCACTGCCACCAAACAAATGAAGCCACAATTCGAAACCCTTCTGCATGATATGGTCGACTGGTGGTTCCCGGCCACTTTGTGTAATCTCAGACTTCTTCCTCGGTTGGACGTTGGACACGTGTCGATCATTCGACATTCCACGTGTTGTGTCACATGGAATGGGTGTACTGCCTATGCTTGTTCTTAAAACCGCTTCCGTGCACGTCCAATGCCAATACCAACGTCAACGCCAGAAGACCTTAGATTTGGAGTCAACAGATTTATTGCCAAATTTGGCACTTCCCTTCACGTTGGATATATCCGACTTACCTCCTCGATTCTCTGATCTGAATGACGCATTTGAACGCGTCATCTCAGAGGTCGAAGAGGTGGATAAGAATAGTTGGGGTGTGATTGTCAACAGCTTCCAAGAGCTTGAATGTGAGTACGTTGCTGCATTGGAAGGTTTGTACAAGCATGCCAAAGCATGGTGTGTGGGGCCGGTTCTACTCTATGAAGAGGACGATGGGTCCCGCAATGAGAGCGTATCGTGTCCGTACATCAAGTGGCTCGACGAGCAGGATGGATCCGGTGTGGCGATCTACGTGTCGTTTGGTACACAAGTGCGATTGTCGGATGATCAGATGAACGAGATCGCTTACGGGTTGGAGATGGCGGGGTATCGGTTTATATGGGCCGTTCGATCGAAGACGTGGAGGGCGGATGAAGGGTGGGAGACGAGGGTGGAAGGGAGAGGGTTTGTTGTACGTGATTGGGTGGACCAGCGGAGCATCCTAGCACATCCAACGGTGGGTGGGTTTTTGAGCCACTGTGGGTGGAACTCAGTGATGGAGAGCTTGTCAATGGGGGTCCCATTATTGGCTTGGCCAATGGGAGCAGAGCAGCCACTGAATGCCAAGTATGTTGCAGTGGGATTGAAGGCAGGGTTGATGGTTAAACGGGAGAAGATGAAGACCGTTGATCGCCATGTGATTTGTGAAGGAGTGAGGGAGTTGATGGGAGGTGAGAAAGGGAGGAGGGCTAGGGAAAGGGCAAGAGTATTGGGGAGGACGGCGAGGCGTGCCGTGGAGAAAGGTGGATCGTCGGATAAGAAATTGGATGAACTGATCAAATCCCTCATTGCCAATGCCAACCAAAAGGAAATAAAATTCTAAAATTTCTTGTGAAATTGGCCAAAATGATAGTCGATATTTTATTCAATAATTGAAATTTAATTTTTGATCATTTGCCTAATTTCACAAGTTTCTTTGACCTTGATATGACTTTTTTCCCCAATTGATCTAAGTTTTGCATTCAACACTCACTCGCGTAAACGGATAATTCAATTCTCCACCAGCATGCATAAACAAATCTCAACTGTTGGATGATACGAGATCAATCTATACACACAAAAATACGTTTGGTATCGAAGCACATCAGCACGTTGTCGTATTTCTGAACAAAATGTAGTCTCATATAGTTTTTTGCCCTCATAAAATACAACAAATTCTCTTAAATAACAGACATTATTCCATCATCCAGAGGCAAAAACAATTACATTATTCCATCATGCTATCATCTTACATATAATTCTGACAATTCAAAAGTTAAAAGTTAATAATTTGGTATTGTATATTGACAATACTACCCTGAGTCATCTCTTTCACTCCTCACAGTTCAAAACGCCTACACCAGGGGCTGCAACGGTAATTTCAACATCAAGAGGTAAAAAGTTTAATAAGCTCAGTCATCTTCCTGATCAAATTCCTTAACCTTCACATCGGCATCTTCTCCGAACTGAATGCAGGTATCGATCTGAGCCAAGACATAGCTCATGCTGCCAAAAAGATATTTGTAAAAGGAAAACCCCAGCATTACTCTCTGATTGTAGATATAAATCAAAAATGAAAAAGCAACTGAAGTGAAGATCATACCTGCCCGTTAATCAAACAGTCAATACCAAGAAATGAAAACACAAAAAAAATAGAAATATATGATGCAAATAGAGAAAAAAAATGATAAAGCAATGCCAAATCCTGACTTTCTACCACCCCATCAAGCTTTTATCAAATCAATCCCAAGCCATGTTCTCTGGTTGTCATCCACTATGTCAACACTTGATTCAGTCCAGGAGTGTTTCAATCCAAGTATTAGTATCTAAGATAATTTGCTTCATAGTAGTTGATGATTTTCGTCCAAAGGCAAACAAAACGACAGAAGACTGTATAGTCAAACCACCCAAGAAGGAACAGACATATATGACACAGCTTTGCGCTAACGCTACACAGGTGACGTTCCCTCCGGTGGCCCAACACAAAAAAGAAAAGAAAAGTGCCATTCAACTTTGGATCAGAACATTGCTGCTTCAGACCCAAATAACAAGGTCCTTCCTAGTTCAACCTAAGAAACCTATTATTGTGAGCAATGAGCATATAACGACCAAGAGCTCTAAACAGAAAGTCATCATCCAAAGATTTCCAACACCAAAACTTTAAATGCCAAACATCTTTATTTAAAAGTGATAAATCTCACAGGACCAACATAACTCAGCCTGATGAGCAAAACAGCGATCACCAGATAATATTAAAGTCACACAAACAAGAAAAGACATACAGGAAAACGTGCACAGATAGATACAGAGAAATGTGCATAGAGAGAGTGCATACCTGCTTGACTTCCTCAAGTCTAGTGGCACAAAACTCACCATGCTATAATCATCGACCTGACAATCCAATAAGATAGTTACTCCTTAATGCACTGACTATGGCCAGTAAGATTATGAGTAATTTGTTTCACAAAACGCCTATAACTACCACAAGTCATAACCATGACCACAAAACTTGACGCTAGTCAGTACAGGACATGGTACAACCCTACATTATATATACCCTCTACCATGTAACCCACAGCTGAAGTCAAGTGAAGGTTACATGGCTCCTCAACTGACAGGATAACTGATAAAGATAATACAACCAAGGGACCAATCAAACCATACAGAACAATTTGGGAAAGAAAAAAAAAAAAAAAGAAAAGAAAATTACAGAACAACCATAAAGAAAATCTCATCCGGAAGGAAGTATGCTTTGCTAAACAGCTATCTCCAATTCACAAACTCAAATGGAGACAATTTATATAAGAAAGATGCACACTATAACTCACTAGTTCAATCAAAGATTTATTTAGCTTTGCAAACTGAGGAGCCATGCGTTGATTCAACTCTGACAATAAAACTTGAGGCTCTGGATACAAGAAGCTGAAACATAAAAGATACAAAACAAAATTGAGCTATTTAATAAGTTAAAAAGATCAATACAGATGGGTTAATAGAAGTAGTAGAGGATAGAGTAACTCACTCTTCAATATCCTTTTTTCTCGGTGCAAGGTCCATTTTGGAGAGAATATTAACATGTGGTAATTCAAGTTGAATCATGGCAGAAAGAGATGCCATGCACCCACTAATAAACTTTGTCACATCCGTAATGAACTGTTTCAATAAAAGAATAAATATATTTATTTGGGGGAACAAACAGAATTAAGAGTACTTCCAAGAAGGAAGAGAAAATGTTTGAGAAAAGATTACATGATAGAACTACAAACACTTATCGCAGACCTGAGAATCAAGCAAGTACACGACGCAGACTTTGAAATTTTTACGCTGCAGATGCTCCACGAAGTTCCGAAGCACAGGCACATGCGAGAAAAGTTCTATCTGGCCTATAACACAAGTGGAAGCCTCAAATTATTATGTTTCACAAAAATTCCTCCAAACACCCACGCACAGAGAACTAAGAGCCTTGAAATAATTTTGCTTTTAATAGTAGAATACCTACTGTCAACTCAGAAAACACGTGACCTAGCTAGTACTATTATTTCTTCCTCGTAATGTAATAATAATGTCATTCATGAAAAACTTTAACCTTGTTGTAGTCCATTTTTCCATCAACAGATCTCAACAGCAATGCATGACCAGATATAATGACAACAAAACATGTGGATTAGTATGGATACCTGGGCAGTCAAAAACCAAGTAGTCATCATCCGTGTAATTGTCTAATTCCTCTGTGAGCCATTCATCCAGATTGTCTTCCAGGTGTCTAGAAATCAAGATTAAGGACATTCACCAAAGAAATTATAAGATTTAGAGAGAGGAGTACACCCAGAAGTGGTACAAAATGATTCACTGCTATAATCGCATGCAAACATTCCATGTCTGTGCCCTTCAAAAGAATGGCAAGCATTCCAAGTAAAAGAACGAAAAGAACAGAAGTAAATTAGAGAACAATTTGGAAAAAGGATACTCCATGCAGTATAAAAGTCCACCATTGGGGCCCAAACCAAGTTCCTCCATAACATCCTCCAAGGAAACAAGCTCCCTAATATCTGCAAGAGGGAAAATAATGACAAACAAGTCAAGTGCAGTTCATGAAACTAAATAAGTGAGCAAATAAATGAACTGACTACTTACCCATGGCCACAGGGTAGTCAAAATTTTCAGCAGCAGGATCCAGATTAACAATATTGATATTCCTCCCAATAGTCGTACAGTGTTCGTGCAAGCTAGAGCAATAAGTCGACTGGTTCCAAGAAGTAAACGAACTTATTAAAACTAGTAATGGGTACATAAAAAACATCAAAAAACACAGTCATAGCGGTCCTGATGTGATTATAATGTATTCCTCATTCAAAAACTGTTGGGGCAATAAACTGACAGTCACACAAAGTAAAACAAACTCATCAAAACGAGGTAATGGGAACACAATTTTTTTTTTTTTTTTTTTGAGAAGATAGTAATGGGATCACATAAACATCAAGAAATGTTAATCATAGTAATTGCCCATGTGATTATGATGTATCTCATATACAAACAATGCTGCCCCAATTACATCAATAATCCAAATGGTTCCGAAAAGCAAAGCAAACTCATCAAAACTAGAAAAAAGTACATAGTAACATAAAAAATTACAAGCACCTAATTCCCATGTGCTCATCAAGAATCCCACATTCAAACAGTTGGTGCAAATTGGAGCAAAAATGGACCGCAAAGCAAACTCACTCATAAAAAATAATAATGGGTACACAAAAACATCAAAAAATATTAAATTTTGCTGATTGCCCAGGTGACTGTGATGCAAGTGAGTGTTACAGTAAATGTGGGTGGTGAAATTTACCTTGCCGCTGCCGGCAGGGCCAATAACCAGCTGCGCGTAACCCATTTCAGATATCTGGGTTTTCTTGCTAGGGCTGCGAATTCAGAGATAAGCACTGCACCGAACGCCAATTGCCAGCAAGGTGCCACCAATCAATCGAGGGTATTAGAGGATCCCGTATAACAAAAAACCTAATTTAAATACAAAGGATATTTATAAAAACCCTAATAAGAGCTTCACCTTCCTTCAATGGTAGAAAAAGGGTCTAGGGTTTATTACCTTTCTATGACGAGATGGATGGACACTGAGTGGAGATTTCTTTTATTTTCGTTTCATTTTTCTTTATGTTTTGCCGCGACGTGTTCTTTTGGGTAAATTACAATACTAGTCCCTGTCTTTTACTTGTACTTTCACTTTCTTCTTTGTAGTATTTTTATACATTTTAGTCCTCGTTTTGTTAGCAGCGTTGTCCAATTGTGTTTGTTTTATCTAAAATGGTTTATGAGATTAGCACAAATTTTCACCTTGGTTTTCTGATCACTACAATTGATGGAAGTGATCCGAAACGGCTCTGGCTTCAACCTAGTTTGGTACTGAGGTGATTCTGAAAAAAATTGCTATAAAAAAAAGCTGGGAGCTGTTTTTGTGTTTGCTAAACACTCAGCTTTAGTTTTTTTTCACAGTTTTGGGTGAAAAAAAGCCAAAAACAAGAAGCTGCAAAACCCAGCTTTGAAAAACCGGCTTTTTTTCACATCTGTTTTACATAAAAGTTTACCAAACACTCTAATACTGCTTTTTTTTTTCTTTTCAAAAGCACTTTTACAAAAAAGTTTACCAAACACTTTGCTGCTTTATTTCACAGCTGTTTATTCTCACAGCACAGCAGAAGCAGCTTTTTTTCAAAGCACAGCAATACCAAACCAGCCCTTCATATCCTCAATGATATGGCCATAGAAAATGGATTTAAAGAGCCCCCTTAATAAATGAAAAGGATGTTCACGAAAATAGATGATAACTTAATTGGTGGATTGATTTTTTTTATTCTGAGTGTAACTGAGAAATACTTTTAGGAAGAAAAGAGTTAACCTTGGCAATAGTATGAAGAAGAAAAAAAAAATTTCTTGAATTATATTGAACTCAAATTCAATCTCAAAATTTTGAATTTTAGACATCTTGGGAGTTAGCAACAATGGCATATGGAAGCCATGTACATAATCGACAAGCTCAATTTGGGGGGATAGTTGGCCGTCATAACCTCGGAACATAACAAAGTTCAACCAAGTTTCCCTGTGTGCATCTAAAGAAGTTAGAGACGGCATGCACAACGTTTACTCTTTTAGGCTATCTGCTTAACTTGTTTCACCCTTTCGACATCTGGGGCATGGAAATTCTTTTCCACCTCCCAAGCTAATTGAGACATGCAGTTAAACATTGACTTCGCACCCTTCTCATCCGTCACATCCCTGGGGAAGGGAATGCGAACCTCAAATATACTTTCCTGAGGAGACCAAAGGCGCAGGTCAAAGCCTAACCGATCAACCCAAACCAATTTTGCTTCAGAAACCTGCACAAGGAAACTACCATGACCATCGCAGAATCACTGATATAAGTGATGTATAAACAAGTCCTCATGAAATGTCGATAAAGGATTCAATAATTTGGACTAAAATGTATTTAAGCTTCTTGTAGAATGATTATTTGGTTTATGGAAATCCTGTAGAAAAAAATGAACGGTGCTGAAATTTTGCAGACAGATCCGTACAGTTGAACATGCAAGTGTCCAAATTATGGTTTGCGTGATTGAAAAGTAACATGGCAGTTTAGTTGGGAATGCCATTAGTCTAGGATGATTTTTTTTCATCATATTGCATGAACCCCGGACATGAAAGCTCAATCATGGGTTGCTGGTTTCTTATTTTCATTTTTGGTGAAGAAAAACATTTACTGGTCAACTGTAGTTTTTCCCTTCCAACTATGAATGGTGTTGTCTAACGGTTAAGAATTCTGTATATAGTTCACTGTTTCCAGTACCAGCTTAGCAAGGTGTCAACATGCAATATCCAATACAACTTACAATCACAATAAGTGGGTTGGCACGAACCTGGAAGTTCAAATCAGCATAGATGTTGCAAAAACGATTAATATCTTCAATGTTGTTGGTGTTTATCTCATTTACCAGCTTTTCCGCAAAGTCCCTAAGAGGATCAGGTTGTGAATTTTTATAATCTGAAGATTTAACCCACATACCAACCTGTGAGAATATCAGAAGAGTTAGAAAACAGAACCGCTTTTGCATAATCCATCTCAAGTAAGTGCTGACTTAAGAACTAGGGGTAAAACTTGGCAGGATTTACCCACACCAGTCTTACCAGACTACCAGTATAGCAAATAACTATTGTGTATGTCTACTAGTCCAGCACAGGAGCAAAGAAAATGCCACAATACCTCTTTAAAGTCCTCCAACTGAAGTACCCGTTCCACAGAAACAACATATATGAGATCTTCGTCAACTTCTTCTCCAAACCTCTTTTTCCATACTGAACGAAGGTACTGAAAGAAACGGCATTGAAATCCAGATGAAATACTGATTAGAAAGACATACATTCTCACCTCACAAATACATACTAGCATAAACTAAAACAGATCATACATAACGTTTTTTATGAGCTTTAAATGGATCATAAGGTTTTCCTTTTTTCTTTTTAAGAATGGATCGAATCAAAAGGCCACTACACTTAATACCTACACGGGCCTGTGTATGCTTCGTCGGAGGACTGAGTCCAGTAAATAAATCCAGCCACATATGCTGAAACTCATGTCTGTGCAAAAACTGAATGGAAATCCAAGTTCTAACATCACACACGAACATTAATCCAACCCACGTCAAGCATACAACATCCAAAACCCTATATTGCACCCCAAAACCACGATATGACACATGGCCAATCATAAATCAAACTGCTTAAAGGTTATGCAAGGCAGACATTTAAGTGATAGCTGTAACATTTACTTGACAAAAACCATGGCAATCTGAAATGGACTAGGTATAGGTAGTTGAAGGCTAGACAAGTTTGACAAATACGACGCATCTATGTTCCTTTTCTAATTCTGCATCCCTTATTATGCTTTCTACGTGCTTCCTTACAACTCAAGCAACACGCAAACACTGAGCTGACCCATATTATAACACACTTGGTAAAGCCACAAGTAACAAACCACTTTCCAGTAACCTATTCTTCATGAACAAAATCGATTTACCTTCAACATTGCCCTGTCTTCCGGTTTGTCAATGCTGCCTAAAATCGTGCACTGAGGTGTTCGCAGCCCGCTTTGCTCTAACTGCGCACCAAAACCGACAGCAAAAACGCCTTAAAAACCTCAAAAATCACCTTAAACTATACAACTAATCATCCAAATTTTTAAAAAATAAGACCCCATTAAAGCACCTGGACATGGAAGCTAGACCTCCTGTCAATAGAAAACTGCCGATTAGAGGCATTCAAGCACAACACCGGAGTCCCTTCTGAGTCGACCGCGAACCGGACGCCAATGCCCAAAGGCCAACCCTCTTGGGTCAGAGTAGAAAGCGTGCCCACAGACACCAACTCCATAATTGTCCTAGAAACCTCAGCAGGAACCGGCCTGTGGCTGTGCGCCTTCGTTTCCACCTGGGTCGGCTCCGAAACCGCCGAAAGCGAGCATCTTAGGGTTCTAAATAGAGTTCTGCGAAATGGGTTCGGTTTTACGTGATTGAAATATTGGATTTTGGGGGTGGGTTTTGAGGGAGGGAATGGAAGGGACAAATGGATTGTGAGAGATTGAGTTTGGAGAAGCATTGGAGGGAAAAATTGGGGTTTAGGGTTTATTGATTCAATTGGGTTTTTGATTGGTGAGGAGTGGAGAGAAATGTGTGTGGAAATGTTGTGGCGGTCAGTGGGGTGGAGGGGGCTGCAGACAGAAGAAAAGTGACAGTTTGTACAAACAGTTGGGGGTGGAGGAGGTGATGATGATGATAAGCAGGGAAAGGGAGAAATCAAGTGTGTGCAGTTGTATGATAGACACAATAGGGCCTAAAGGCGTTTTTGCTTTGCTTGAAAATTGACATGAAATTACGGAAAAGTGACATGAAAACAGTTGGGGGTGGACGACGTTTCATGCCTTTCAGGTTTTTTGAAAAGTGACATGAAATTACGCAAGTACTATTTAACTGTACGTGTTTGTAACTAAATGGGGTGTCATAGTGATGAATTCGTGGTGAAGCCTAAATTGAGTATTGGTATTTTGAAATCGGTTCACTATTATTTGATGTGTAAAATCGCATTGAACACGTCTTAAGCTATTTGAATTTATATTCATTCTGTATACCATAACTACATAGCAAAGGTTTAGTGTCTCACATTACTTGGTTAAGTACATGGTAACTGTTACCTTTTGATCCACAACATCGATATACAAACAATAATGTAATGATATATTGATCACATACCAGATATCCTCTAATTAAAAAGAGAGTAAACTGGTTCAGTTTCAAAAGCAGGGTAAAAGTGATACTTCAGGTATAATTCAGGGACATGTTCAGAAATAAGCAAAAATGAAATGGCTTATAAGGTAAACTTCTTTTATTTTATTTTCCCCTCCAAAACTAAAACTTTTCAACTTTAATGAGAACCAAATGGCGGCAGCGACCTTCAACAGCCCCCTTTGCCCCTTCGCATTACCCATTTCCCGCCAAATCAATTTCCCCATCAACGGTCACCGCTTCTTCGATACAATTCCGCCAAAGGTGAGTTCTTTTCTCACTCGTTACCCAAACTCCACAACTCAATTTCCCCAAACAAATTCAAAAAATGGAAAGTTCTTTCCCTCCTGTTTGGTTGCGGAGATACGTTAGCGCTGTCAGTGGATGACCCAGAACTTCAATGAAATGCTAACTCAGTGAACAACCAGTTCCTTGTTCGGTTTAGCTAAAGTTTCAGTTTTTTCACTTCCAGTGCGTCCGAAGTAATAGCAATTATGAAGCACAAATTTTCAATTTTCTTTTTGTTTTCTGGCTTTTTCTCGGAAACCAAACAGTTATGTGATGCTCAAATTATGCTCTTCAAGCTTTTTCCTTGTTGGTATCTAGATGTGCAAAGATTGTATGTACATATATGGATAATCTGATATGTGATTATGGTCTTTAATTGGGTTTGTAGGTTTTCGATTATACGGAAATGGGTCTTTGCGCTAAACTTGTGGTGTGATTTGTGCTGTCAATGAAGGTGGGAGAAACCATATGAATATCTTCCAACTGGGAAAAAAAGCTTACTTGGACGAGCAAGACGTTGTCACGTTTCTTGATCCTCAAGTCTCGGCTTCGTGTAATCCAGCTGCATATCCGTGGTTAGTATTCAATTGTTATGACCAATTTTTTTGGAAACTCAGTTTGAGTTATTTTCTGGGTCACTCGATTGACTTTTTATTTTTTGATATGTAGCGTTTCAATGCTAATTTCGAGTTATTCACTTTCGTTGTGAAATTGCCGAGGAAAAGAACAAGTGTTGTATATATAGACACACATGTATAGGGTGTGTCACTTTCACTTGCATGACTCAGCATATGATGACTATGCACACCTGTTACAGTGAAATTTCCCATACGATGCCTCCACAGATTCGTTGACCATAATCCGCATGTTAGCCGAATCCCTCGTTCTCCGAAGCTTTGTTTAGGTGGGGTACCTACAAAAGGTACTCCGACGCTTAAGTCAGTCAATTGAATTCGTGCTCTCTAGTCAGGGATTTCGATTGCCTACCTTGTTTTTAGATTCCTCTCCCTATTTATAGAATTCCAACGCTTGAAGAACAAGTACCATGACATATCCCTCACTCCTTCTTCCTTAGTGGTCATTCTCAGTGGAGGTAGTTATTTGCCTCCTTCTGCCTTTTTCTGAGCTCTTCTTGCAACGACATGCATGTTTTCCTTCCCATGCACGAGTGAGGAGTCATGGCACATGCAGGGTTGGTATGTTTCTTGTGGGATTTTCTCTTTAGTCTACCCATCATAGGCTTGTCTTACACAACACCATCTGTTTCGATGAATGGTATTGGCCCATGAGTCGAAACCAGATTCTATCCTCCCATAATGCCCCATTTTCCCCCTTTTTATTGGTGTGTAAAATTGGGGAAAATTGAGCTTTCGATTGCATGAGGCCCATGAAATAATATTCTCTAAGCCAAGCTAAAACTTAAAGCCACTTTTGTTAAAGCCAAACCACTTGCTAAAGCCAAATTTGTGAAGGCCACTTTTTCTAATGCCAAAGTTACCTAAGCTAAATTTACCAAAGCCACCTAACCCTTTTGTTTTTATTTTTTCACTTGCAAAAGCCGACACCCTTTTCTTACCTTTGCCTAACTTACGAATGCCAACTAGTACTCTTTGCCTAACTTACGAATGCCGACTAACGCCTAACTTACGAAGGCCAACTAACACTCTTTGCCTAACTTACGAAAGCCAACTGATACTCTTCGCCTACTTAAGAAAGCTAACTGACACTCTTTGCCTAACTTACAAAAGCCGATTAACACTCTTTGCATAACTTACGAAAATGAAATGACACATCCTTTTTTTTTTTTAAGTAGACAAATTGCATCAAAAGACTTTATTTAAACAACATTACTCTACTAAAACTAAATATTTCCCCATTTCTTGATCACATTTTCAATTTGCTTCCTAACACTACCCTCAATTATTTATTTATTATTATTTTTATCCACTTACTTACTATATTATATATATATATATATATATATATATTTAATATACATGTATTGTCCTTGTCAAACCTGCACGTGTCAACATATATAGATATGTGTGCCGTCATCCACACACATATCCTTAGAGTAACTCCATCGGTGTCTTGAGCCTGATGGACCAGCGACAAAAATAACCCAATAGCCTCAACAATCTGCTCCAGCCCATGCTGGCAATGGGGCTCGGGGGAGGCCCGAGTGAGAGGTCAGGCTCGAATTGGTGGCCTGAGAGCCTGAGACCACATGATGCAAGGCTGACGTCAGCCACATTATAAAATTAATAAAAAAAATAATAAATGTAAAAAAGCAATAAAAAAATTAATAAAAAATTATAAAAAATGTAAACAATTAATAAAAAAATCCAAAAAAATTTTAATTTTTCTCTAAATATCTTATCATTATCTTCCACCTTAGACCACAATTTTATATTTTCTCAATACTTTGGGTTGTAATTTCTTATTTAATGAAACGTGGTATAACGAGACCGATTAAAAATCATATTTGAAATTTGAATTAAAATTATTTTTTATTATTTTATAAAATAAAAAATACTAATATTTTATTGCCTATTGTCATAGCTATTCAGTTTAGGAGTGGAGATGCAAAAGGCAGTTACTATTCATTAAAGGCAATTACTGTTCATTGGAAAGATTCAATAGTGAGTTGCCCTAAGAGACCATATGCGTGCGCGCACACGCGCGCACACACACATATATATATATATTTGCACGCACCTCATCCGTACATTTATACATTATATATCTCTGCACACATGCATGCCTATATATATATATATATATATTGACATGCACATCCGTTTTCGAGCTTGAAAACCTGCATACACATAACATGTCGTTCTTTTGTTAAACCTCTACACACATATTTGACTATGCATGTCATATGTTTATATATCATTACCTCGGGCTCAAGTCAGCATTTTTCATAATTTCTCGCATAGTTAAATTCTGCCATCACATGTGCTTCTTAAATGGAACATGTGCTCTAGAGCAAGCAGATGTCGCTTTTTTCTTTCGCTTCTGTCGAAATGACCTAGATTATAACTACACACTAAAATATATATGAGAAAATAACAACTTCTCTTAGGCAATCCAACTGGTGTTCGACACGCTGCTAGTATCCTTTCAGAATTTCATGTTCATCCAATATTAACAAAGCATCAGGGGTAACGCGGGTGGCGAAGGGGGAGGTGTGTGAGAATGACCTGTTTCACCTCTTGTTATTGCATAAGGGCCTGAAGAATGTGAGATAGAGCCAAGAGTCCAAGTTGCATAACTCATCCTCGGAGAAACCCTTCCATCAGCAATAGAGTCAAGAGCCTGAATTGTATAATTCATCATCGGACAGATCCTTCCATCAACAACGGAGTCAGGAGCTCTTCATCATATATGAGCTCTTCATCAACTTCTTCTCCAAACCTCTTTTTCCATACCGAACGAAGGTACTGAAAGAAACAGCATTGAAATCCAGATGAAATACTGATTAAAAAGACATACATTCTCACCTCACAAATACATAATAGCATAAACTAAGACAGATCATACATAATGCTTTTTATGAGCTTTAAATGGTTCATAAGGTTTTCCTTTTTTCTTTTAAGAATGGATCGAATCAAAAGGCCACTACACTTAATACCTACGTGGGCCTGTGTATGCTTTGTCGGAGGACTGAGTCCAGTAAATAAATCCAGCCACATATGCTGGAACTCATGTCTGTGCAAAAACTGAATGGAAACCCAAGTTCTAACATCACACACGAACGTTAATCCAACACACGTCAAGCATACAACATCCAAAACCCTATATTGCACCCCAAAACCACGATAAGACAAATGGCCAATCATAAATCAAACTGCTTAAAGATTACGCAAGGCAGACATTTAAGTGATAGCTCTAACATTTACTTGACAAAAACCATGGCAGTCTGAAATGGACTAGGTATAGCTAGTTGAAGGCTAGACAAGTATGACAAATACGACGCATCTATGTTCCTTTTCTAATTCTGCATCCCTTATTATGCTTTCTACGTGCTTCCTTACAACTCAAGCAACACGCAAACACTGAGCTGACCCATATTATAACACATTTGGTAAAGCCATAAGTAACAAACCACTTTCCAGTAACCTATTCTTCATGAACAAAATCGATTTACCTTCAACATTGCCCTGTCTTCCGGTTTGTCAATGCTGCCTAAAATCGTGCACTGAGGTGTTCGCAGCCCGCTTTGCTCTAACTGCACACCAAAACCGACAGCAAAAACGCCTTAAAAACCTCAAAAATCACCTTAAACTTTACAACCAATCATCCAAATTTTTAAAAAATAAGACCCCATTAAAGCACCTGGACATGGAAGCTAGACCTCCTGTCAATAGAAAACTGCCGATTAGAGGCATTCAAGCACAACACCGGAGTCCCTTCTGGGTCGACGGCGAACCGGACGCCAATGCCCAAGGGCCAACCCTCTTGGGTCAGAGTAGAAAGCGTGCCCACAGACACCAACTCCATAATTGTCCTAGAAACCTCAGCCGGAACCGGCCTGTGGCTGTGCGTCTTCGTTTCCACCTGGGTCGGCTCCGAAACCGCCGAAAGCGAGCATCTTAGGGTTCTAAATAGAGTTCTGCGAAATGGGTTCGGTTTTACGTGATTGAAAGATTGGATTTTGGGCGTGGGTTTTGAGGGAGGGAATGGAAGGGACAAATGGGTTGTGAGAGATTGAGTTTGGAGTGTTAGAAACTAATATAAATATAAACTTGATGTATAACAAGTATCCCAGATTACAATCATGCAATTTATATATGATACCTGGAGCAGTCATCCTCCTTTGTTGAAATGCAATTCTTCTACTTATTTAAGACTTTATGTTCCAAAGGTGATAGAACCCTTAATCTCAGAACGATACTTCACAAGTAGGGAATTGGATTATATATATACACAGATTTCATCTGATTTCCATCTATCGTGGAAATCAGTTACTGCAGTTGTTGGTGTTAACCCAAGTCAATCTGCCGTTTCATCCACTCGATGATTTGATGCTCCACATGCAGTGCACTGTGCTTTACAGATTGGAATATGGTTCCCACGTTAAGGATGTAATGATTATGCATAGTGGACAGCAAGGCCACTGCATGTGTATACTGACTGATGATTCATAGACAGCAAGGATGCAACTTCCAGTTGTTTTGTTTATTTGCATGGGTGTGTAGTAATCTATGAATAAAACTCCGCTGCAATTGCAGCAGATGATGATTAAAAGAAAGATAGTTTTATATATACTTATAATGTTAGTCAAGTCCAATTAGGTATCCAACATTCTCCCACATGGACACAGACTAAACATTATAATCAAAGTCATGCCTTTCACAACACTGATACCTCATGTGATCACATCAAGTTTCACGCATACTAACTTCCTTTCAACTACTATAATTAATTTAAATATTTGAATTCTAGAAAATCATGTGTTTATAGACAACACAAGCACCCTGAAACCACAAATACTTAAAACTAATATGTAGAAAGAAACTTCAGACTTTTCAATGAATTTAAATTCCTTCATTCATTCAAAACAGTCATTTCATGGATCAACTTTGGAAGATCCTGATGCATTCATCGAATTGCATCCCTCGAATTATTCATGTCCAATCATCAAGACACTAGAATAGACATATACATGCATACAGTCAGCAACTCAGACAACCAATTGGCTCAACAAGCGCATATGATTCAGTAGGTCTTGATAGTGAACAACATAAATAACATTCGAAGACATATTTGAAATATACATGTGACTTACATCAAGTTTTTCTCACTCCCACACTTCAGCAGATTCTAGAGATTCAAGCACTCCCATCTTAGAGACATGATCCTTGAATACTCCTACTGCCAATGGCTTAGTCAAAGGGTCAGCTATCATTGAATTTGTTTCAATATGCTCAATCGTGATTTCACCCTTTCTCACATGTTCTTTCACTGATAGATATTTGATGTCCATCAACCTTGTTGCCTCAGACCTTTTGTTATTCTTAGAGAAAAATACTGCAGCTTTGTTATCGCAGTATATGGTTAGTGGTCTCGAAATTGAATCAACAATAGCCATGCAGCTGATTAAATTTCTTAACCACAAACCTCTCTTGGTAGCTTCAAAACATGCTATGAACTCGGCCTCCATAGTTGATGTGGCTAACGCCTTTTGTTTAGCACTTTTCCATGATACAGCTGCTCCTGCCAAGAAAAACAAGTAGCCACTCGTGGATCTCCTGTCATCCACACAACCTGCAAAGTCAGCATCAGTGTAGCCAACTAGTTCCAAGTTCACTACTTTCTTGTAAACCAACATAAAGGATTTTGTCCTTTGCAAGTATCTTAACACTTTCTTGGCTGCAACCCAATGTTGTTCACCGGGGTTCGACTGATATCTTCCCAACACACTGATGGCAAATGCCAAATCAGGTCTAGTACAGACCTGTGCATACATCAAGCTACCTACTAGAGACGCATAAGGCTTATTGACCATGCTTTGTCTCTCAATCTCATTCCTCGAACATTGAGACTTATTCAACCTGTCTCCCTTTCCCATTGGTACTTCTCCATTAGCACAAGTTTGCATATTGAATCTGTGCAACACTTTTTCAATGTACGACTTTTGTGAAAGTCCCAACAAACCTCGAGCCCTATCTCTTTTGATCTCTATACCAAGCACATATGATGCATTTCCCGTATCCTTCATCTCAAAGGTCTTAGACAATAATCTCTTAGTTTCAAGCACAAGATTAAGATCATTGCTTGCCAAGAGAATATCATCTACATAAAGCACAAGCAAAATGAATCTTGATCCAATGACCTTGAGATAAATACAATCATCAATCTTATTCTCACAAAACCCAAAAGAAGTTACCTTTTCATCAAATTTCAAGAACCATTGTCTCGAGGCTTGTTTTAGACCGTACAACGATTTGTTCAACTTACAAACCATGTTCTCCTCGCCTTCTTTAATGAAACCAACAGGTTGTTCCATATAAATCTCTTCCTCCAAATCACCATTCAAGAAGGCTGCCTTTACATCCATCTGGTGCAGTTCAAGGTTGTAATGAGCCACAAGAGCCAACACAATCCGAAGTGAATCTTTAGTTGATACTGGAGAAAACGTTTCTGAGTAGTCTACTCCCTCAGTTTGTGTATAGCCCTTAGCCACCAGCCTGGCTTTGTGCCTTTCAATTCTTCCATTCGAATCCTTTTTAGTTTTAAACACCCATTTACACCCCACTACCTTGATATCATCTGGTGCATGAACTAAAGTCCAAACGTTGTTTGTTTGCATGGATTTCAGTTCATCACTCATTGCTTCCTGCCACAATTCAGATTGCAAACTACTCATAGCTTCTTGATAAGTAACAGGTTCATCTGATATGCCTTCATTTAGTTCCACTTCTTCAAGGTACACAAAGTAATCATTAGGTATCACTGACCTCCTAACTCTTTGCGGCATCACCCTTCTTTGATTCACAGATACTTGCATTGGTTGACTAGTTGATGCATGCGATGGAGTTGAGGTTGCATTAACATTTGTAATGGATGAGTCAACATTTGCAATGGGTATACTACTTTGCAAATTAAAATCTTCAACTTGAAACTCCACCACAGATGGCTGTGAAACAATAAACTCCCCGTAGCTTTTGCCCTCACATATATCACCTTGCTCTTCAAATTCCAAAACTGTTGCTGCCTGAAAATTACTCGATGCTTCCGTTTCTTCAATAAACTTGGCAGCATTAGTTTCAAAAATTCTGTTTGGGAGATTTGACGCATAAAATCTATACCCCTTTGATTTATCAGGAAACCCCACGAAGTGACATGAAACTGTCCTTGAATCCAATTTCTTCTCAGTAGGGTTATACATCCTAGCTTCCGCATTACAACCCCAAACATGCATGTGATTCAAACTTGGCTTTCTCCCTGCCCATAATTCAAAAGGAGTTTTGCAAACTGATTTGCTTGGAACTCTGTTCAGTATGTAGTTCGACATTTTCACGGCTTCTCCCCATAGAAACTGTGGAAGTGTTGAACAACTCATCATGCTTCTTACCATTTCAATCAGAGTTCTATTTCTCCGTTCAGCCACGCCATTTTGTTGTGGCGTGCCTGGGGTAGTGTACTGTGCTTGAATACCACACTCCTCCAAGTATAGAGCCAAAGGCCCCTTAGATTGACCTGCCTCAGTGTACCTGCCATAGTATTCACCTCCCCTATCGGACCTTAGAATTTTAATGGACAACTCCAACTGTTTTTCTACTTCAGTTTTAAATAATTTGAAACAATTCAACACTGAAGATTTTTCTGAGATCAAATACAGGTATGAAAACCTTGAATAATCATCAATAAAAGTCACGAAATAAATGTTTCCATAGATTGTTTTAGTTGGAAAAGGTCCACAAACATCAGAGTGGGTAATCTCTAATAGTTTTTGACTTCAAACTGAAGTTTTTTTCGTAGTTTTAGTCATCTTCCCCTTAAAACACTTAATGCAGTTTTCGAAATTTGAGAAATCCAAAGCAGGCAAAATTTTATCCTTAATCATGCGATCCATTCGTGCTTTGGATATGTGCCTTAATCTCCTATGCCAAAGCATGGAAGATTTTTCATTCAAAACAAGTCTTTTAGTTGATGTAAATGATTCAGTATTAAAACAAATACTTTCATTGCAAACCGAACAAAGCATTTGCCATAATTCATTAACTAGAAAACAGACTCCAAGTACAACTCTTGGATTATTCTTCATGTAAATCCTGACACTTTCATTGTCTCCATCGAAAGCAAAGCCAGTTTTTACAAGTTTCGAAACTGAAAGTAAATTCCTTCTAAGTGAAGGTACAAATAAAACACCAACTAAATCTAAAACAAAGCCACTAGACAACTTGAGCTTGAGGTCGCCTATTGCTTCCACAGCCACTTTATTCCCATTGCCAACATAGACTTGAAATACTTCATTTCTTGTTGTTGAACCTCTTCTTGTGAAACCCTGCAACGAATTGGTGATATGAACCGAACAACCAGTGTCAAACCACCAAGAATTTGAAGGGACTTCAACAAGATTAGATTCAAAACACACAAAAATTTTGACTAAAATACCTTTCTTAGTTTTCAGATCTTTGAGTTTCTCACAATCCCTTTTCATGTGACCAGTTCGTTTGCAAAAATAGCACCTTATGTTGTCCATTATATCCTTATAATTCTCAGGTCCTTTGGAGGAGGATGCAGTTATGACAGCACTATTATTGGAGGTCAGTTTAGGAGCCTTACCAGAATGGAAAAATGGTTTCTTCCCTTTGTCAGCATGCACAAAGTTTACTGCAGCACGATTGACATTGCGCCTAAGCCTGCATTCTTCTTGAGCAGCAATTGAAATCAGTTCATCCATGGACCATTTCTCTTTCTGAGTACTGTAAGTAACCTTCAACTGATCATAACACGAAGGCAGAGAAGTCAGTGCCATGTGGACCACAAAAGCCTCATCAACTGGAACATCCAAGTCCTTCAATTTGGCTGCAGTATTCACCAACTTCAGAATATGCTCTCAAACACCCTTTCCTTCATCAAACTTTAGAGATGTAAGTGTTGTCATCAATTCCCCCATTTCAGCCTTCTCAGATTCCTTGAATTTTGCTCCAATGGCATCAAGAAAATCTCTCGCCTTATCACATCCAGTAACACCACCTCTAACAGTATCGCTCATGGTTCTTTTCATAACCATTAGTGACATCCTGTTAGCCTTCTCCCATTTCTCATGCTTGTGCCTTTCTTCAGCAGTTGAGGCATTTGTCAGTGCAGCAGGTTCATCCTCACGAAGTGCAAGATCGAGATCCATTAGTCCCAGCAAGATCTCTATATCTTGCTTCCATTTCTTGAAATTGCCACCACTTAATGGTTCGACAGATGAGAGACTGAGAGCAGACGAATTCGCTGGAGCAGTCATAGAAATGTTAGTTACAAATGAGAGTATGCAGTTACTGCTGCAAGTTTACATCGCATTTTTGAGTGAAAATCATAAACTGCCTTCCATATTGCATATATTGGCCATAATATTCCACAATCGCAATGATACATCAAGTCTTTGGACTAGACAATTACAAACTTTTATAGGGAATGATTCATACAATTTATTAACCTTCATGCAATTTATATATATTTCCCTTTTGAGAAATATATGAACATGCTATGAATCTTTTAAGACCCCTTAATAGCCACGGAATACAATAACAATATTCACTTTGATGAATATCAGAAGAACATCAAGTACTGCACTACTCGAGAGATATATAAAATACATTTCAAATATATCATCATACATTTATCATAATAATAAAGCAGTAAAACGAATATGGGACTTGTTATTTGGCTCTGATACCAAATGTTAGAAACTAATATAAATATAAACTTAATGTATAACAAGTATCCCAGATTACAATCATGCAATTTATATATGATACCTGGAGCAGTCATCCTCCTTTGTTGAAATGCAATTCTTCTACTTGTTTAAGACTTTATGTTCCAAAGGTGATAGAACCCTTAATCTCAGAACGATACTTCACAAGTAGGGAATTGGATTATATATATACACAGATTTCATCTGATTTCCATCTATCGTGGAAATCAGTTACTGCAGTTGTTGTGTTAACCCAAGTCAATCTGCCGTTTCATCCACTCGATGATTTGATGCTCCACATGCAGTGCACTGTGCTTTACAGATTGGAATATGGTTCCCACGTTAAGGATGTAATGATTATGCATAGTGGACAGCAAGGCCACTGCATGTGTATACTGACTGATGATTCATAGACAGCAAGGATGCAACTTCCAGTTGTTTTGTTTATTTGCATGCGTGTGTAGTAATCTATGAATAAAACTCTGCTGCAATTGCAGCAGATGATGATTAAAAGAAAGATAGTTTTATATATACTTATAAAGTTAGTCAAGTCCAATTAGGTATCCAACATGGAGAAGCATTGGAGGGAAAAATTGGGGTTTAGGGTTTGTTGATTCAATTGGGTTTTTGATTGGTGAGGAGTGGAGAGAAATGTGTGTGGAAGTGTTGCGGCGGTCAATGGGGTGGAGGGGGCTGCAGACGGAAGAAAAGTGACAGTTTGTACAAACAGTTGGAGGTGGTGGAGGTGGTGATGATGATAAGCAGGGAAAGGGAGAAATCAAGTGTCTGCGGTTGTATCATAGACACAATAGGGCCTAAAGGTATTTTTGCTTTGCTTGTTTTCCCTTACTAACCACGTTTCATACCCTTCAGGTTTTTTGAAAAGTGACATGAAATTGTAACTGTACGTGTTTGTAACAAAATGGGGTATCATAGTGATGAATTCGTGGTGAAGCCTAAATTGAGTATTGGTATTTTGAAATATGTTCACTACTATTTGACGTGTAAAATTGCATTAAGCGCGTCACAAGCTACCTGAATTCATATTCATTCTGCATACCATAATTACGTAACAAAGACTTAGTATCTCACATTACTTGGTTAAATACATAGTAACTGTTAACTTTTGATCCACAACATCAATATACAAACAATAATGTAAACGACATATTGATCACGTACCAGATATCCTCTAATTAAAAAGAGAGTAAACTGGTTCAGTTTCAAAAGCAGGGTAAAAGTGATACTTAAGGTATAATTTGGGACATGTTCAGAAATAAGCAAAAATAAAATGGCTTATAAGGTAAACTTTTATTTTATTTTCCCCTCCAAAACTAAAAACTTTTCCACTTTAATGAGAAGCAAATGGCGGCAGCGACCTTCAACAATCCCCTTCGCCCCTTCGCATCACCCATTTCCCGCCAAATCAACTTCCCCATCAACGGTCACCGCTTCTTCGATACAATTCCGCCAAAGGTGAGTTCTTTTCTCACTCGTAACCTAAACTCCACAACTCAATTTCCCCAAACAAATTCAAGTTCTTTCCCTCCTGTTTGGTTGCGGAGATACGTTAGCGCTGTAAGTGGATGACCCAGAACTTCAATGAAATGCTAACTCAGTGAACAACCAGCTCCTTGTTCGGTTTAGCTAAAGTTTCAGTTTTTTCAGTTCCAGTACGTCCGAAGTAATAGCAATTATGAAGCACAAATTTTCAATTTTCTTTTTGTTTTCTGGCATTTTCTCGGAAACCAAACAGCTATGTGATGCTCAAATTATGCTCTTCAAGCTTTTTCCTTGCTGGTATCTAGTTGTGCAAAGATTGTATGTATATATATGGATAATCTGATATGTCATTATGGTCTTTAATTGGGTTTGTAGGTTTTCGATTATACGGAAATGGGTCTTTGCGCTATACTTGTGGTGTGATTTGTGCTGTTAATGAAGGTGGGAGAAACCATATGAATATCTTCCAACTGGGAAAAAAGCTTACTTGGACGAGCAAGACGTTGTCACGTTTCTTGATCCTCAAGTCTCGGCTTCGTGTAATCCAGCTGCATATCTTTGGTTAGTACTAAATTGTCATGACCAATTTTTTTGGAAACTCAGTTTGAGTTATTTTCCGGGTCACTCGATTGACTTTTTTTTTTTTTTTTTTTTGGATATGTAGCGTTTCAATGCTAATTTCGAGTTATTCACTTTCGTTGTGAAATTGCCGGGGAAAAGAACAAGTGTTGTATATATAGACACACATGTATAGGGTGTGTCACTTTCACTTGCATGACTATGATGACTATGCACATCTGTTACAGTGAAATTTCTCATACGATGCCTCCACAGATTCGTTGACCGTAATCCGCATGCTATTGAATCCCTTGTTCTCCGAAGCTTTGTTTAGGTGGGGTACCTGCAAAAGGTACTCCGATGCTTAAGTCAGTCAATTGAATTTGTGCTCTCTAGTCAGGGGTTTCGATTGTGTACCTTGTTTTTAGATTCATCTCCTTATTTATAGAATTCTAACGCTTTAAGAACAAGTACCATGGCATGTCCCTCGCTCCCTCTTCCTTAGTGGTCATTCGCAATGGAGGTAGTTATCTGCCTTCTTCTACCTTTTTCTGGGCTCTTCTTGCAACGACATGCATGTTTTCCTTCCCATGCACGAGTAAGGAGTCATGGCACATGCAGGGTTAGCATGTTTCTTGTGGGATTTTCTCTTTAGTCTACCCATCATAGGCTTGTCTTATGCAACACCATCTGTTTCGATGAATGGTATTGGCCCATGAGTCGAAACCAGATTCTATCTTCCCATAATGCCCCATTTTCCCCTTTTTTATTGGTATATAAAATTGGGGAAAATTGAGCTTTCGATCGCATGAGGCCCATGAAATAATATTTTCTAAGCCAAGCTAAAACTTAAAGCCACTTTTGTTAAAGCCAAACCACTTGCTAAAGCCAAATTTGGGAAGGCCACTTTTTCTAATGCCAAATTTACCTAAGCTAAATTTACCAAAGCCACCTAACCCTTTTGTTTTTTTTTTTTTTTCACTTGCAAAAGCCGACACCCTTTTCTTACCTTTGCCTAACTTACGAATGCCGACTGGTACTCTTTGCCTAACTTACAAAAGCTGACTAACACCTAACTTACGAAGGCCAACTAACACTCTTTGCCTAACTTACGAAAGCCAACTGATACTCTTCGCCTACTTATGAAAGCTAACTGACACTCTTCGCCTAACTTACGAAAGCTGACTAACACCCTTTGCATAACTTACGAAAACGAAATGACACATCTTTTTTTTTTTTTTTTTTAAGTAGACAAATTGCATCGAAAGGCTTTATTTAAACAACATTACTCTACTAAAACCAAACATTTCCCCATTTCTTGATCACATTTTCAATTCCCTGAGCTTGCTTCCTAACACTTCCCTCAATTATTTACTTATTATTATTTTTATCCACTTACTTACTATATTATATATATATATATATATATATATTTAATATACATGTATTGTCCTTGTCAAACCTACATGTGTCAACATATATAGATATGTGTGCCATCCTCCACACACATATTCTTAGAGCAACTTCATCGGTGTCTTGAGCCCGATGGACCAACGACAGAAATAACCCAATAGCCTCAACAATCTGCTCCAGGCCATGTTGGCAATGAGGCTCGGGGGAGGCCTGAGCGAGAGGTCTGGCTCGAATTGGTGGCCCGAGAGCATGAGGCCATATGATGTAAGGCTGACGTCATCCACATTATAAAATTAATAAAAAAATAATAATAAATGTAAAAAAGCAATAAAAAAATTAATAAAAAATTAAAAAAATGTAAACAATTAATAAAAAATCTGAAAAAATTTTAAAATAAAAAAAAAGATTTAATTTTTCTGTAAATATCTTATCATTATCTTCCACCTTACACCACAATTTTATATTTTCTCAATACTTTGGGTTGTAATTTCTTATTTAATGCAAAAGGATGTTATTGTTCATTAAAGACAATTATTGTTCACTGGGAGGATTCAATAGTGAGTTGCCCTAGGGGACCTTATGCGCGCTCGCACACACACACATATATATTTGCACACACCTCATCCATACATTTATACATTATATATCTCTGCACACATGCATGCCTATATATATATATATATATATATGCACATACACATCCGTTTTCGAACTTGAAAACCTAAATACACATAACGTGTCGTTCTTTTGTTAAACCTCTACACACATATTTGACTATGCTCCATCACATGCGCTTCTTCAATGGAACATGTGCTCCAGAGCAAGCAGATGTCGTTTTCTTCTTTCACTCCTGTCGAAATGACCTAGATTGTGACTACACACTAAAATATAAATGAGAAAATAACAACTTCTCTTAGGCAATCCAACTGGTGTTTGACACGCTGCTAGTATCCCTTTAGAATTTCACGTTCATCCAATATTAACAAAGCATCAGGGGTAATGCGGGTGGCAAGGGGGGAGGTGTGTGAGAATGACCCATTTCATCTCTTGTTATTGCATAAGGGGCTGAAGAATGT